TGGAACGAGAATAAGAAAGATTGGTTAGTATGTCAACATTGTTCATCCTCATACCTGTGTCAGGCGTATTTGACATACCTCAACTTCTGGAAGACTTGTCTTGCCCCATCCAGTCTATTTTTAGAGGACGAGTCATAAGTCCAGGTTTTCAAGAAAAGATTGGACATCCATCTGTTCAGAAGGGTTTAAGGTCTCCTGACTTAGACAAAGGGTTGGATTAGAAGACCTCCATGATCCCGTCCAGCCCTGGGATTGTATGTTTCTATGCGAGCTACTTATCTTTCCAGAGACCAAGTGTTTAAATCAGTCAGCTGCAAGAAGAACCACCATTCAAATTCATCACCTGGAATCTGGGTGAAGCTGTATGCAGCTTCCTAATAAAGGAGGAACATCTACAGCCTAACGCAGTGGCCCTTTTCGTCTTCCGTTAAACACCCGTTTGGGCAGAACATCTCCAGGGGGAAGTGAGTGTATCCAGAAAATTGCTTTTGTGACATACGATCCCAGAACATTTCCTAGAGCCGGAATGGGACACTTGCCACGGCCGACTCACTGCAGCCAACTTGCCATGGGCAACTTACCACAGCCAATTCATGGTGGGACAATTTAACAATTCAGTTGAATTATAACCTGAACAGCCCTGGTGGTGCAGTGGTTAGAATGCAGCAGTGCAGGCTAACTCACTGCTCACTCCAGAAGTTTGATTCTGGGACACCAAGGAGTTTAATAAATAAATAAATAAATAATAAATAAATTGTGTGAGTTGCTTCTTACCACACTTTTATTCCGCCCAGCCTGCCTTCTGCTGAGTCAGACTTTTGTTTTGTCGAAGCCAGCCTTGGCAACTCAACAGAGTTTGAAGCAAGAATTATCCAATCTGAGCTGAGGCTGAACCCAAGTCCTTCAGTATGCAAAACAGATGCTCAGCCACTTAGTTACACTGCCTCACCTTATTGTAGTCATAACAGATTGCCCTACAATCAAAATCACTCACTTACACAGCATTGGTCTCCAAAGTTTGAGGGAGTCATCTTCCTCCGTCCAATTTGGGGATACTAAAGACTGAGACTGGGCTCAAAAGATGACGCCATGGCACTACAACACCTCCCCTTAAAATTCAACATCTTATAGCTTCTTGGGTTTCTCCTGATTTCCATTGCCACCCTGGCATAAAATGCTGCCAAGTCTTCAACCATTTCTCCCTGCTCACCAGCCTGAAAGTTCTCATGAACGTCAGCGTCGAACTTTGCAAATTTTGGAAGGATGGAGACCTAAGGAACCATTTCAGTTGCTTTCCATTCAAAGCTTAACATTTCCCCACTGGAGAGAAGAGAAAGATGTCTGGAAACCCAGATGTGATCCATTTGGATGCCACCTTGCAATACTTTGATCAAACATGACGTTGGAATCACTGGTGAGCAAAATTCCAGGTTGGAATTTCATTGAGAATGGATTTTGTCCAACCGTGTAGGTCTTATTTGAATGAGATGTCAGAGAAGAAGAGGCAGAGGCTGGAAGGTGGAGTCAAGAGAGGAATCAGCCTGGAATCCTTACATTCTCACAAATGATCTAAGTGCAATCCTTCTTGAATTCTGTAGCACCAATTTAGGGCTGACCATTGATTGAGTAGATTCTTGAGTATAAGTCAGCTTACGTTCCACTGAAGCTGATTTTATGCTTATACACAAGAATGTAGTCAATGGGCCTAATTTTTCATGCCTGACATAAGACTCAGTGTGCAACTGTGGAGTTGTAGAGGAAGGACTGGGCCTAGGAGAAGAAAAAAGAAGAAAAGAGTGTGCTCCTGGTCCAGTATTCTCCAAAGAGAATAACCAGGTTATGTGGGCTGTTTCACATGGAACATTCCCAAGCCAATCTGATCCACTCTTCTGCTATGCTAGATTCCTAGAATTCTTTTCTGGAATTCCATTCCCAGGAGGAAATGAGAAACTACAAGAGCTGGCAAGACACCAAAGATTTCTAGTCCTCCCCCAAGTAGGGGGGGATTAAAGAAAAAAAAAAAAAACAACCGAACAAAGCTAGACAAAATGATGTTTCCACAACACCATGATTGCTCACGCATTTTTTTCTGGCTAGTTCACCAGCCTTCCTCACACACCCCACTCCCCACCTGCTGATGAAGTCAGTCAAACTGGAAATAGCTTTGGCCTTGGCCTCCCCATCCCCTCCTTTCGCTGAATCACGAAAGCTCCCTCCCTAGGCACAGAAAGGAGAGAGTTTCCCCCTTCCATGGCGGGCTTACTTCAACGGAACAGTAGCTACCTCTGGAAGATGTAGCTCTCCTACGGTTAAGTATCCTTCTCTTTGTGGGTTGATGGCCAAGAACAAAGGGCTGTCTGCAAGTATTAGGGTAGGTGTCCTAGGAAGATACTCATTGCAGCCAGCTATTCATCTGCCTTCTTTTAGAGCAGTGGTTCTCAACCTGTGGGTCGGGACCCCATTTGGGGTCGAACGACCATTTCACGGGGGTCGCCAAACAACGCAGTCCGCCATTTCCCCCCCCCTTTTTCCTTAGCTGTGCTACTCCCTTTTATTCTATTGGCTTTTGAAAGCCAATAGAATAGACTCTCTTGAATAGAGTCTAATTCTATTGGCTTTCAAAAGCCAATAGGAATTGTCCAGGCTGTCTTTGCCCTGCTGAGCCCGCCAAAAGTCCCATTTATTTATTTATGAGACTTATATATCGCTTTAAGTGCAAGCACTCTCTAAGCGGTGTACACCAGTAAGCAATGTATATATATATATTTACATTGCCCCCAACAATCTGGGTCCTCATTTTACCTACCCCGGAAGGATGGAAGGCTGAGTCAACCTTGAGCCGGTGAGATTCTGCAAACGGTGCTGCACCAGTTGAGCAGTCCTCAACTTACGATCGGTTGAGTAGTCCTCGACTTATGACCAGTTGAGTAGTCCTCGACTTACGACCGGTTGGGGGTCGCGGCATTAAAAAGGTTGAGAACCACTGTTTTAGAGAGTCAAAATCCATCCCTTCCCCACCATTCAATCAGAGCTGAAGAAGCTTCTTGGTATGAGAAGCGAAACGTCTTCAAAGAAAAACAGAGACAGTCCAGGGGACAATTCTCTAAGTCCTTTAAGAATAAGGCAGAAAAGCAGAAGCCTTTACCCCCTCCCCCCCCAGGGAAGCGAAAAACTCAGAGGGGAAATTGACTGGGACATCTTGGCATCAATGTTCAGCTCAGACTGATTTCAGGGAGGCTTTTAATCATAAATAGTGTATTGTCGCCCATTTCCTTATTCTATTAGAAGAGACAGAAGGAGCTGAGTCACAGATCAGGGCAGAACAAGCTGCTAATATATCCACTGGTGGGAAAAGGGGTAGAAATTATTATTATTATTATTATTTTATCAGCCTCCAAGAATCAAGCACCACCCGTTCCTGTGCGCAGCTAATGTTACTACATCTTTTGGTCTCCTTTCAAGACAGACATTTTCCTGGCATGGACCTCGCAGGTTTCCCTGATTTCCCATCAGGCTGTTCTATATTTTAGACAAACGTCTTCTATTAATAGTCTTTCCTTGGGTGGCTATTAAAAACACGGAGGTTTTTGATTGAGAGCAAGCAAAAGTCACTCTCTCTTTTTTTGAGTAAAAGAACTTAGGAGAAAGCAAGCTGTTGTGATATCACACAGCCTGGAGGTTTTTTTCCTGTCTCGGAAAAAGCCGGATAAAATGACGCCATCAAAAGCCATTGCCAAACAGGATGGGAGATGCTTTCCAAACCAGCTAAGGCTGGGGGAGGGTGGGGTGGGGGTCAACTGGGGGAAGCTCCAGTCTATGGGGCTGATGGGTCACCATTTGATTCTACCCATTGGAGTGTCCAAATTCGATCCCTCCTGTTGAAAAATGCTGGAAGCCCAGATTTACTTGGAATACTGAATCCATAATAGTAATAAATAAAATAATAACAACAACAACAACAACAACAACAACTGCTTCCATCCTGCGACAATATCTGTAATACCATCAAACATCCACATCTGCCTATCCCAGGTCCTTGAGAAGGATTCGAGAGGTAGACAAAAATGCCAAATCCAGTCTGAACATCTGGCTGACTGTGCGATGATCAATAATAATAATAATAATAATAATAATAATAATAATAATAATAATAATAATATTGGAAGGGACCTTGGAGGTCATCGAGTCCAACCCCCTGCTCAGGCAGGAAACCCTACACCATTTTGGACAAATGGCTGTCCAGTCTCTTCTTAAAAACTTCCAGTGTTAGAGCATTTACTGCTTCTGGAGGCAGGCTGTTCCACTGATTAATTGTTCTCACTGTCAGGAAGTTTCTCCTTAGTTCTAGGTTGCTTCTCTCCTTGGTTAGTTTCCACCCGTTGCTTCTTCTCCTGCCTTCAGGCGCTTTGGAGAATAGCTTGACTCCCTCTTCTTTGGTGCAGCCCCTGAGCTATTGGAAGACTGCTATCATGTCCCCCCTAGTCCTTCTTTTCATTAAACTAGACACACCCAATTCCAGAAACCGTTCCATCACTGGAGGTTTTTAAGAAAAAAAAAACTGGATGGCCACCTGTCTGAAATGGTATAGGGTTGAGCAGGGGGTTGGACTAGAAGACCTCCAAGGTCCCTTCCAGGTCTATTCTGATTGATTGATTGATTAAACCAGTAGAATGGATTGCCTTCAGACCAAAACGTATGAAGAATGGCTACAGGATTTGAGTTTGGCTAGTCTAAAGAAAAGAAGAAATAGGGGAGACATGATAGCAGTGTTCCAGTATTTGAGGGGCTGCCACAAAGAAGAGGGGGGTCAGGTTGTTCTCCAAATGGAAGGATGAGAAACAACGGTTGGAAACTGATCAAAGAGAGAAGCAACCTAGAATTAAGGAGAAACTTCCTGACAGTGAATTAACCAGTGGAACTGCTTGCCTCCAGAAATCATGGAGATTTTTAAGAAGAGGCTAGACAGTCACTTGTCTGAGATGGTGTAGGTTCTCCTGCTTGAGCAGAGGGCTGGACTAGAAGACCTCCAAGGTCCCTTCCAGCTCCATTCTATTCTTGAGGCAGATATAATTTTGGTTTTGATCTCTGTCTAAAGATTTTGGAGCTTCTTAAAACCCAAGCAGACTCATAGCTGGAGCAAGGAAATATTTATCCCCTGGTCTCTTCCGCAGAAAACCCTAAGAATAACTAGAGTCTTTTATCTCACTCTCTATCAGACCTCAAAAGGCTCAGGAAACTCCTTGCCAGCTACTAATTTTTAATGACTTCTTCTTCACAGGCTGTGCCAAAGCTCTCTTGAATCGCCACCAAGATACACAGGAGTCCAAACGATCGTTACTGTTAAGACAGATGTCTTGTATTTTAAAAACGATACGCCGTTCGTCAAAACCAAGTTAATGGGGCAGCAGTGCTTTTAAAAACAGGCAACCACTCTGAAATCATGTCTCTGGACACATCTCGTCCTTGATACGGTTCTCAGATGGCCATTCCAGAACGGTACAAATTCATCGGCTTTTTCATGTTCCTCCAGCTTTATCGGTTCTGCTTTAGTTTATTGCTGGCATAAAACACGCACAAAAAGAACGGAGAGCACCTCCCTTCCCTCTGGGGTGCACTTCTGTTCCCAATCTCCGCAGAGATAATATTACTAAAACAGAACTGAGGTAGGAGGAGCAGGTGAAATGAGCAACGGGAGTGACCCTGGGCTGAAAGCCAAACTGTTTTCAGAATGTCTGTCTATGTGGTCACCAAGAATCGAAAAAGAGTTGGTGGCACATAATTCATCTAAAATAAAATAAAATAAAATAAAATAATAAAATAATAATAAAATAAAATAAAATAATAAAATAAAATAAAATAATAAAATAAAGTAAAATAAAATAAAATATAAAATAATAAAATAAAATTCAGAATGTTCCAAAACTTAGCCATCACGTTATTACGGAATAGCAAGTATCAGAGGTGGTGCTTAAGTATCATTAAAATGGAACATTGGGGAAAGCAGGACAATAGTGGGGCAGTAGATAGAATGCAGCTTTGTGGGCTAAATCTGCCCACAGCCAGCAGTTCAATCCTGATGGGCTGAAGGTTGACTCAGCCTTCCATCCTTCTGAGGTCGGTAAAATGAGGACCCAGATTGTTGGGGGGCAAAATGCCGACTCTGTAAACTGCTTAGAGAGGGCTGTAAAGCAGTACATAAGTCTAAGTGTTATTGTGATGTCTATTGCTATCTATCTATTTATCCATCCATCCATCCGTCTGTCCGTCTGTCTGTCTACCTATTTCAATCCATCCATTTATCCATTGACCCATCCATCCATCTATCCATCTGCTCATATCTATCTATCTATGAATGAATGGTTGCAAATCAAAGAAGAATGTGTGCAAATAGATCTAGTACGAAATCTATGTGATTTGAAGATGCTTACCTGTTAGGAGAATCAGGGTCAAAGCAGGTCTTGGTGACATCTGTTATATCTGGGTTGCAGCAATCCCCACCATCAAAGTTGTACTTGTCCGAGTTGCAATCCATGTCACAAACGCCATTCTGTTTCTTCTTGTTGAAGTAAAGCTGACGCACGTGGCGGCAGTCTCCTCCATCGTACCCGGTCAACGTGTGGTTGCACTCCGGATCGCAGCTATCGTCTCCAATCTTGCTGATTTCGCAGTTGGCCAGGATGAGGCGGTTGCGAAGGGAGGAGTTGTTGACCTCCAGCACCTCCATTTCCCACGAGATGTTGTACGGGCCGAAGGCGTCGTTCAGCTGCTGGTGCTGGAACTCGATTTGTTGCTGGCTGATGGTTGGGTTGCGATGATGGTCGTCGTAAATGTTCACCACCCGGTAGCGGACCACTTTCTGGTGGCGGAAAGTTGGGATCTGGTTGTAACTGGCGATGACCTCCACATTGTCGCAAACGGTTTGCCCACAAAGAGGAGGCTCCAGGCTGGTATCCAGCAGGTAGTCAGAGTGGGATGTGAACTCAGTCAGAGGAAGACGTGGGCTGTCTTTCATGAGAGACCAGCTGCTTTTCACATTCAGTAAAGTCTCCTGAAACACTAGCTGAGGTAGAGGAACATCTGTTTCGGGAGCCACCAGAGTCATGTCTGTCAGTATCTCCTTCTGAGAACGGACTGTTCTCCAAAGACTAAAATGTTCTATGTATCCTCGGTAATTTTGGTTTAGGGCATTGCCACCCAACATAAGGACCTTACACTTTGAGGTCAAAGGGCTGAAAATACTCCCTACCTGTTCTCTGCCGGTTGCCACCTGGGCACCGTTGACATACAACTTCATCAGACGTCCATCGTAAGTGATGGCAAGGTGAACCCATTGATTTGGAAGGTAGCTACGGTGGTCTGTGATGGTGGTGAGCTTCCAGGCCCGGTCGGTTTTCAAGGAGAAAAAATAGCGAGGGTCTTGATTGCCCTGGTCACTGATGTTGTTGATTCCCAAAACCCATCCACGGTCAAGGGTGGTATAAGAACATTTGTCATATAATCCTAAGTGTCCGCGACACAAAAGAAAAAGAAAGGAAAAGAGAGTGAATATGGGTGAGCATAACATCATGATAGCATGATTTAATTTGGTACAGAAGTCCTCACTCCTGGATTCAGCCCTTGCTTCTCAGCACTTACGTGAGCTCAATCCATTATTCCAACATCTAATATCAGCATCCTGAGAACTCTCATTCATGCCCCTTGAAGTACACGCTTAATGTCAATTAATTGAACCAAATCCTCCTTAGCAAATGCTTCATTAGCGAATTCTCAGAACCTTCCTAAAAATGACAGTTCCTAGAATTCTTCCGTACAAATCCGCGCAAGAGAAATATAAGCTACTGATTTGTGCCCAAAAGGTAGAAGATGTTTCATCTCACATTATCAAACACTGTATTAACAAACTACCAACAAGGTTTGAGTGTTTTCCATTCAAGAATTCTTGGGAACTGATTTAAGAAATCTCTCACGAGGAGGCATTTGCTTACAACTGGTTGTATTGCCAGTCCTCATCCAGATGGGTTTCAAAAAAACCTAAGAAATGTACTTGCCTAGTACTCTCTGACCCCCGTACGCCAACAATCTTCATTTCTACCCTACCACAAACATCTGGCACATCCCTTATTGTGTGGAGAGTGGAACAAGTTGGAAGGAGGCAGTAAAATACCAAGAGGATCGGCACCACTACGTATAAGCTTCCACAATAGGAAACAAAGTGGTCTACAACCTTGATTGTTTATGCATGTAAGAAAGTACACAACTGAAGTCATCAGGAAGAACATCCATTTTGCCATCACGATATCTGAGCTGGCACTGATGTCTCTACTCCCTCTGAATTCTACCACTTCTAAAGACCGTCTTTGGACAAGATTGAAGAACAGCTCTTCTGGGTGGTCTAACTGGGGGGGGGGAGAGGGGAGTATCAGGTTCTCAAGACAAGAAGAGTTTCCTCTATCATCACAACTCCTACTTTGCATCCATGATTATTGCCCCACAGGTGCCATTTCAAGAGACAACTGGACTTTGCTTTGAAGACCCTTCACTTCTCATCCAAGAAGCTTCTTCAGCTCTGACTGAATGGGGGAATGGAAGGATTTATACTCCTTGCAGACAGCTGGTCATTTGCCTCCTTTGAGAGAGTCTAAATCCTTCCATTCCCCACCATCCGGTCAGAGCTGAAGAAGCTTCTTGGATGAGAAGCAAAATGTCTTCCAAGAAAAACAAAGAAAGTCCAGTTGCCTCTTGAAAAAAAAAAGCACCTTTGGGACAATCGTGACCTGGATGACGGAGAACCATCATAGACATTTTGAGATGGTTAGAGGCAGATTCAAAAGAGATTATCGGGATTTCAAGTTCTCTCCTATTTTGGGTTCCCAAGAAGCAGATTGAGAATCAGAATCAGAATAGAGTTGGGAGGGACCTTAGAGGTCTTCTAGTCCACCCCCCCCCACTGAAGCAGGAGTGCCTCTACCATTTCAGACAAGTGGCTGTCCAGTCTCTTCTTAAAAACCTCTAGTGTTGAAGCACCCACAAACGTCTGAAGTCAACTTCTGGTCCACCGGTTAATTGTCCTCACTGTTAGGAAGTTTCTCCTTAATTCCAGGTTGCTTCTCTCCTTGAATTAAGGAGAAGCTTCTTGACAGTGAGGAGACTCAGCTCCCACGTTCCACCTGATCCAGCTCAGCGAAGACTTGCGTTCTTATCTTACAGCCTATTTTGCTGAAGGAAATAAGACAGTGGGTGGGTCATATTTACAACCCCCGTTTGTATTTTTAGAGGTCTGTGCAAATAAAAAGTGGAAGTGCCAGCTTTCTAATAATAGGGAGCTGGTTTTTTTGTTTGCTGAGGAAACACTTAACTGTGGTATTCCCTACTTACAGTTGCCTTTGCCACAACCCACTAAACCTCATGCTCTATTGAAACTAGGCCAAGATACATCTCATTACAATAACGTTCCTAGGCTGTTTACACCGGCTTCCATTCCTTTTCCCTCTCCTTGTCTCTTTCTAAGCTGGGCTGCAGTGTTTGCAAAATGCCATACAACCACTGACTGGGTCATCATGATTATAAAATACCATCCCTCTCGTCCTTTTAAGGGACAGCCGTCAAAACCTCCGCCCATCTGGATAGCAATGGGATCCATGTTCAGAGTCAAAATGCAGATTGAAATGAAGGATAGAGTTAAAGAAAAATAATACACACAACTAACAGACTAACAGAGTTGGAAGGGACCTTGGAGGTCTTCTAGTCCAACCCCCTGCTCTGACAGCAAAACCTATCCCATTTTAGACCAATGGCTGTCCAATCTCTTCTTAAAAACCTCCAGAGTTGGAGCATTCACAACTTCTGGAGGCAGGTTGTTCCACTGGTTAATTGTCCTAACTGACAGGAAATTCCTCTTTAGTTCCAGGTTGTCAGGAAATAACAATCCTAAATTGTCAAGTGTCAGGAAATAACAATCCTAAATCACTTTTTTTTTCAGCACCTTTGTAACTTCCAACAGTCACTACATGGACTCTAGTAACTCAAGGACTACGTGTAGTGTATACGATTCTAAGAACCAATAATCAACAGAAGCCATAACAACTAAGCAACCTAAAGCAAATGAACCATTCTATAAAAAAGATGTTGGAAAAAGTTCAGAGAAGAGCAACTAAGATGATCGAAGGCCTGGAGACTAAAACATATGAAAAACGGCTGCAGGACTTGGGTTTGGCTAGTCTAAAGAAAAGAAGAAATAGGGGATATATGATAGCAGCCTTCCAGTATCTGAGGGGCTGCCACAAAGAAGAGGGGGTCACATTATTCATCAAAGCACCAGAGGGAAGGATGAGAAACAATAGATGGATACTGATCCAGGAGAGAAGCAACCTGGAATTAAGGAGAAACTTCCTAACAGTGAGGACAATTAACCAGTGGAACAGCTTGCCTCCAGAGGTTGTGGACGCTCCAATACTGGAGGTTTTTAAGAAGAGACTGGACAGTCACTTTTCTGAGATGTCTCCTGCTTGAGCAGGGGGCTGGACTAGAAGACCTCCAATGTTTCTTTCTATTCTATTCTATTCTATTCTATTCTATTCTATTCTATTCTATTCTATTCTACTCTACTCTACTCTACTCTACTCTATTCTATATCATCTATTCTATATCATCTATTCTATATTCTATTCTATTCTATTCTCTATCATCTATTCTAAATTCTATTCTATTCTATTCTACTCTACTCTATTCTATATCATCTATTCTATATTCTATTCTATTCTATTCTATTCTATTCTCTATCATCTATTCTATCATCTATTCTGTTCTATTCTATTCTATTCTCTATCATCTATCATCTATTCTATATTCTATTCTATTCTATTCTATTCTCTATCATCTATTCTATATTCTATTCTATTCTATTCTACTCGACTCTACTCTATTCTATTCTATTCTATATCATCTATTCTATATTCTATTCTATTCTATTCTCTATCATCTGTTCTGTTCTATTCTATTCTATTCTCTATCATCTATTCTATATTCTATTCTGTTCTGTTCTATTCTATTCTATTCTATTCTCTATCATCTATCATCTGTTCTATATTCTATTCTATTCTATTCTATTCTATTCTATTCTATTCTATTCTATTCTATTAACTCAGAGGTGGCACCCAAGCTAGAAGGACTTGCGTGCATGATTTGGTTGGCTTCTCTGTGAGATGTTTGTCTTTCAGAAATGAGGAAGAAAAAGGTCATGGAGATATGAGTGGCGGTTACGAAGAGCGAGGGGGACAGGACCCTGTTTATATCAAACCTGCCAGGAAGGGAAGCCTGGGTGGAGATAGGCCACCCGGTCATGTTCTTCAGAAAAAAACAAGGGAAACTAATTTCCCCCCAGAGTAAGTTCTGGAACTTGTCATGACTTTCATGACTGGGATAAGCCAACCCAAGGTGACAGTTATGAAAGGGGAATTTTGGTCCACAATCAAAGCTGCAGTCAAGAGGCCCATGGACGGGGAGGGAAGAAGTTGGAGCTCCCTTCTTTCTCCCCTGCACGCTTTAATCACTTAGTATCAAATTTGCCGCAGAACGCTTGAAAGAACAGCCACCGCACCAGAACCTCTACGAAGCTTTCATCTGGCCAGCAGAAAATAATTACGAGAGACAGATTTGGGTTAACTATTTCCATGGTGCATGCGACGGAATCAAGTTGGGGAGGACTGGCCCGACTTATTTCCAAAAGTCAGTGGAGATTGCTTGGGCTGGGATCTGTTGGGTAGAGTTAGAAGCGAGCAGAAGGACAGAGAAAAGCTTTGCTTCGCTGGGACCCAAACTCTCCCATCGCCTCCTTCCCAGTGAACTTGAAATAATTCAGACGTTGTAAAAGAGGCAACCCTCAACCCTTTCCGTGCATGATAATAGTATTGTAACAGAATAGACAGAGTTGGAAGGGAGCTTGGAGGTCTTCTAGTCCAACCCCCTGCTCAGACACAGAGGGGAGAAAGCTGAATCTTCTCTTATAAAGATGAGAAGTCTTGATTCGTTGGGAAAATCAGACTATCCCAATCCCAAATTGGACCTCATCATGGCCAACTCACCGCAGGGCGATTTAACAATTTAATTTATTATTTAAAATCAACAAAAAAATTATTGGAAGTTTTGCCTTTCACATTTCATTTTGTCCTTCCTTGTGCATCTGTTCTTTAATTATTCTATTCCACCACTGGCTGTGGTGAGTTGACCATGATGAGTTGACCATGTTGAGTTGGCCATGGTGAGTTGGCAGTGGTGAGTTGACCATGAGTTCACCGTGGTGAGTTGACCATGGTGAGTTGGCTGTGGTGCGTTGGCCATGGTGAATTGACCATGGTGAGTTGGCTGGGGCGAGTCAGCCATGGTGAATGGTCATAGACCCATCCCAAATTGACTTCTTAGAATATACATTGGCTATCAAGATGCTTCTATTTCCAATCTAGTCTTGAATATTCACAAAGGTCCCATGTAGGAGACGACTGGGC